CTGGTCCTTAGCTGGTCCTTAGCTGGTCCTTGGTTGGTCCTTGGCTGGTGCATGGCTGGTCATTGCTACTCCTTGGCTAGTCCACAGCTGGTTCTAGGCTTTTCCTTGATTGGTATTTGGCTGCTCATTGATTGATCATTGGTTGGTCCTTGGTTGGTTCTTGGTTTGTCCTTGGTTGGTCCCCACTTTCCTTTGCTGGTCCGTGGCTGCTCCTTGGCAGGTCAATGGTTGGTCCTTGGCCTCTCCTTTGTTAGTTCATCGCTGGTCCTTGATTGGTCCATGGCTGCTCTTTGATTGATCTTTGGCTGGTCCTTTTTTTGGTCCTTGGTTGGCCCTTGGCTGCTCCTTGATTGGTCCTTGGTTGATCCTTCGCTGGTCCTTGGTTGATCCTTGGCTGTTCCTTGATTGATCCTTGTTTGGTCCATGGCTGGTCCATGGCTGGTCTTGGCTTGTCCTTGGTTGGTCCAGGGCTGCTCTTTGAGTGGTCCTTGGTTTGTCCCCACTTTCCTTGGCCTTTCCTTGGCTAGTCTATGACTGGTCCTTGGTTGGTCCTTGGCTGATCCTTGGTTGGCCCTTAGTTGGTCCTTAGCTGTTTCTGGGCCGGTCCTTGTCTGCTCCTTGACTAGTCCATGGCTGATTCTAGGCTTTTTCTTGGTTGGTATTTGGCTGGCCATTGGTTGGTCCTTTGCTGCTCCTTCATTGGTTCTTAGCAAGCACTTGGCTGCTCCTTGATTGATCCTTGGTTGGTCCATGGCTAGTCCTTGGCAGGTCCTTGGTTGATTCTTGGCTAGTCCTTGGTTGGTCCCAACTTTCCTTGGGTGGTCCTTGGTTGGCCCTTGGCTGCTCCTTGATTCGTCCTTGGCTGGTCCTTGGCTGATCCTTGGTTGGTCTTTGGTTGGTCCTTAGCTTGTCCTTGGTTGGTCCTTGGCTGCTCCTTGGCTAGTCCACGGCTGGTTCAAGGCTTTTCCTTGTTTGGTATTTGGCTGGTCCTTGGCTGTTCCTTCGTTGGTCCTTAGCAAGCACTTGGCTGCTCCTTAATGGATCATTGGTTGGTCCTTGGCTGGTCCTTGGCTAGTCCACGGCTGGTTCTAGGCTTTTCCTTGGTTGGTATTTGGCTGGCCCTT